CCCCAAAACCCCAAAACCCCATTTATCTAAATCTCAAATAAAATGAGAGCTTAGACATTTTTATATTATTTAGCTGATTATAATAATAATTTCAAACTATTCTTTTGCCCTTGCTCCATTCTCCAGTAATAATCTCTCCTTTGGAGCTTATGTATGTTCCTTTTCCATGTTGTTTACCATTGTACCATTGACCAGTATATTTTCTTCCGTCTGGCCAACTAAATTCTCCATACCCCTATTTTTTATCTTGAAAATACTCTCCATTATATAATCTTCCATCTAGCCAGGTAAATATTCCTCTTCCGTGCATTTTATTTTCCTTCCATTCTCCAATGAATTTCCTACCATCAGCCCAGTGATATTCTCCATAGCCTTCAATATTATTATTCTTGAATTCCCCATTGTAATAAGATCCATCTGCCCATTTAAAGTACCCAGTGCCATGCTTTTTACCCTGTAGGTAGGTACCTTCATATTTAGCTCCATCTGGCCAAGTTTCAATCCCTTTACCATGCTATCTATCCTCTAGCCAAAACCCTTTATATGTAGCCCCATCCATGTGCAAATATTCTCCATAGCCATGAGCTTTATCATCTAGCCAATCTCCCTCATAAATATCACATTCTGCATGTATAAGTCTTCCTCTACCATTGGCTTTATTGTTGACCCACCAACCTTCATACACTGAACCATCTTACCATATTTACAATCCTTTTCCTTCTCTAGTCTCTGTTCCCTTTCTCCATTCACCCTCATAAATTACTTCTTCATCTAGCATTTTAGCTGGCCTCTATTCCAAATACTCTAAACTTTTCTTTGATTCTTACTGTATTAATTCTGGGACACTTATCTAAAAGTCAAATGGACCTAGCTATTCTCTAATTTTAATAACTAATGGTGATTGAAACTGCTCTCTTTTTATTTGTATAGTCTCCTCTCTAGATTAATTTCTACTAGTATTTACAACTTTTATAGTGCCTGTACTATTGATATTATAAGCACCCATTGAATATCTCTTTTTTAGTGTCTTTCTTACAGAAAATCTTTTTCTTACTCTGTATCCTCTAAAGCAAGATTGAATTTTGATGATAGACCTTAAGAACCTGTTCTGCATTTCTTTTGTAGTTATTATTTTTTCAAGTCGAAGCTCACCCACTTTTTGTTAGACCTCTTTTTCTTGATAGTTGTAGCATGTATTGCAATTATTTCCCATTTAAATTTAAATGTTTTTATTTTACTTATATTCCTTCAATTTAACTGATATTGATTCAGATTCATGGGGTTTTGGGGTTTTGGGGTTTTGGGG